ACTTGGAATCGAAAAACCCCCGAATCTTTAAACTTGGAATCGAAAAACCACCGAATCTTTAAACTTGGAATCGAAAAACCCCGGAATCTTTAAAATCCAGAATCGAAAACCCCCCGAATCTTTATACTTGGAATCGAAAAGCTCCCGAATCTTTAAAATCTGGAATCAAAAACCCCCGAATCTTTAAAATCCGCCCCCGTATCTTTAAACTTGGAATCGAAAAACACCCGTATCTTTAAACTTCGAATCGAAAAACCACCGAATCTTTAAACTTGGAATCAAAAACACCCCGAATCTTCAAAATCTGGAATCGAAACCCCGCGAATCTTTAAACTTGGAATCGAAAAACCCCGAATCTTTAAACTTGAAATCGAAAACCCCCGAATCTTTATACTTGGAATCGAAAAACCCCGAATCTTTAAACTTGGAATCGAAAACCCCCCGAATTTTTAAAATCTGGAATCGAAAGCCCCCGAACTTTTAATTAAACTTGGTTTCTGTCGGTGAGGACAAGGTTTCTGGCGGTGAGGACAAGGTTTCTGGCGGTGAGGACAAGGTTCGTGGCGGTGAGGACAAGGTTCCTGGCGCTGAGGACAAGGTTCCTGGTGCTGAGGACACGCACTCAAACTTGTAAGTTATGATGTAGTTTTTAACTGACAGGTAGAGAAATGAGAGAACTTAAACCGTAGATACTGTACCATGCATTAAAGATGGTACCTATTATAAACATATTATTATTATATTATTTTATGAGAATCTAGTTTTCCGTGAAATTGCTTTTTTAAGAGACGTGAATCGTGAAAGTTGTGAAACGTGATCCATACCCCCCTTTCCCACCACGCTCTTTAAACTTGGAATCAACCCCCCCCCCCCAATGTTTAAAATCTGGAATTGAAAAACCCCCCGAATCTTTAAAATCTGGAGTCGAAAACGCCCGAATCTTTAAACTTGGAATCGAAAGACCCCGGAACTAAGGTGCTGATTACATGGTGCCGGGCTGGCCCGGTTAACCGGGCTGACTCGTTTGTTTAGGACCTTACTGTGGTTTTAAAACTTGCGTAAAATAAATTTGCGATAAATAATTGGTTTAGTATAGATGCAAAATCATTCTAAACCTGACTCAAAACTCATTTTGCGGCCCAAGGAAGATTTTCGTGACATTTTTCAGCTCGGGCTGGCCCGGTTCATGTAATCAGCCCCTAAGGACCCCCTCTGGCACTCTCCGTCCGTTGCTCCACTGTCGTTCCCCAACGGAAGTCTAGAAGCCTATGTCGGCTTCCACCCTGGTCGACCTTTATAAATCCCACTCAACTGTTGCAAAATCGTCCCACATTCCCCAAAGAAAGAAAGTTAATCAATTCAAAACCTGTAGCAGCGGGGGCCGGAAATCCTCTGCTTCAAAACAGTAAAATAAAGGAGTAAGATCATAAATCTTTACATTATATTAAACAATCCATATGTCTTATCTCTGTTGATATTTGTAGTGTCTATGTTTGTGCTTTGTTTGTGAGAATTTTTCCCTAAAAAGGTAGTTCGTGTCGTTTAATGGAAATTTGGCGGCAATTGTTGGCTTGTTTTCCGATTTCCGTGTCACAAGCAAGTCATAAGACATTCGCATGCAGACATTTCATTGTCGCATTGTTGTCATGTATCTCGAATCTGATTGGTCAATTGAATCACCAGACAAAATTCCATAGCACAAAGTGCACATTTCGCTTTGAATAAACGGCTTTTTTACGGATTTTATTGACCAAAATCATTCCCTAAGTAAGAGGAAACATCCTTGTGTGATTAATTTATTATTTCAAGACATTAAACGCATTGAAACAGCTCAAAAACCTCCAAATTTTTAACATATTTTAACTTTCCCTTTAATCGCGTTTTCTTTCCCGCCATGTTCTTTGACCAATCATATCGTAGAATTGTTCTCACGTGATTGCTGCAAGCACCGTAATGGCCTACTCATATCGATAGTACGGTGAAACGATGTTTTCGAAAATATTTCGATTTAAACAAAAAAAGCAATTGAAAAAAGTCCACGTTTCTGACAGGTAAGAAAGAGTGCACCTTAATAAATCTGCTTGCGAATTTTTATAGAAATCGGTCGCGTTTTTCGTATAAAATTCATGTTGTAAACTTTGTATTTTTATTATGGTAGTGATGATGATTATTGGTTGGAAGACTTCCATTTAATTGAAAGGTCTGTGCGATGTATTTTATAATCAGATATTTTAAATAGATCGTATTTTATATGTTTTATTAACTATAATAAAGTCATGTTGTTTATTATGGTTATTTCTTATAAAATACGGGTCGTATGAAGGTTATTTTAGAGAATTATTTTTGCTTGGATATAGTTGATCATTATAGCCCTGTATTTTTATATAAATGCCTTGCGGTTATAGTTGTTATAATTAAATTATTTTAACACCTTGTTTAAAACCTTACGGTACTATGCAGTGCACGAAACGAATATAACAACTTTACAACTCGAAAATTTACATTATATACTGTTTCAAATAGACTTTGTTTACATCCTTAATTCGCTTGCCTGTGGTCACCTGACAGGCATGCTAAAATCATGAAATATTTTTGTTTCAAATTTTGAACTTTAGAATTGCCTCCGGGGTTCTGTCAAACCTGTCCAAGATTGAATCATATTAAATTTGTCATAATCTTGTGATTTTGGGAATTTTGGATGTTAAAGTTTAAAAATTTTTTGGGGGTTATGACATATAGCATGTATTAGTTAATATTTGTCCACAAATATCGCTACATCATCATGTTTGATTAAGGATATGCCAAGGGCACACACTCATTCATGTGACTGGTTTGATGAGACAAGTTTGCACATTGTGAGTGATGAAACATCCTTTGTAGACCACAGTCAAAATTGTGGGTCTCAGGTTACAATCGTCCTACTTGAAGGGTTATAAAATTCAGTATTAGACTAGTACAATATCTCGTAATTGTACAACTGTTTCATTGTTCATTATTCAACTAAATTTTGGACCAAATCTCTCTTGAAACAATAAAAATACTTAACCAATATTTATGGGAGATAATTAACTGTTATATTGATACCTCACAGCAGTCTTAAATTTTTCTTCATTAACATGAAAATTCATGTGAATGTTTATTCATCCAGAGGGCTGCCGTGTCTCAAAAGATCTCAAATCCGTCTGCTGGTGTACAAAGATCACGACAAGAGGGGCGACAAGTTTGTTTTGTTCGACTCCAAAACAGACGTACAGGATGACACTACGGACAAGGTATGTCTTGTTAGGTGCCAGTGCATAGATTGCGAGAAATACAATATGCCATTTTGATAAATACGTCATAAATTTCTCCTTGGCCCCAGAGCCTCATAATTATGAGCCAATCGCATTTCACCTTGATTCAGGAGAGTATATATAGGGCTCCCACGCCAAGAAAGTATTCATGACGTAATTATTGAAAAGGTGTTGCTTGTGGGCTTGTGTGTATGACAAAACTACCTTAAGTGTAGTTGTATCATTAGGAACAAACTAATCTACAATTTTTTCTAACCAATGATTTTAAACCCTCAATATGATTAACCATTGAGTGCCACAGCTCTCCTCTTGACGATCAGTAAAATCGTCTAGAGTTAAGGCTGTTTTCCACTTTCACCATATCATAATGAAACGTACTGGTGAGCATGCTTAGATTAAAAAATAGAGGTGAGCATGCTTAGATTGGGTTGATAAATCTGCATACTTCCGGGTGTATTATATCAAAATGAAAAATTTGTCGCTTTTTGGTCAATTTGAAGTATTATTAACCAATCAACGTTTACTAGATTCTCAAATTTTTAAAAAATTTTTATATGCTTCGGTAAGGTACACTTGAAGTGGAAAACGGCCTTTGGAAATAATAAAGTAGGGTGGAAATTCAACCTGACGGGTTAACTAGATGATTGGGCACATGGGCGTACCGGGCAGGGGGGCTGTCCCCCCCCCCAGTTTGTTGGGCAAACAAAGCCAGTCGGGCAATTTGCGCTCCACAGTCGGGCAATATTGGCTTATTATAAAAATAAATGGGACAAATTCTGTCAATTTTGTAGGAAATTCTGTCAATTTTGTGGTCAATTTTGTGATGTCTGGAAAAATTTTTGGCACTGGTCGGGCACAATCCGAAAAAGTTGGGCAAATTTCTTTTCGCCCCCCTAATTTTTTCCTTCCGGAACGTCCATGATTGGGCAGATAGTCTTGTTAACCCATTGAGTCCCAGCACCTCCCCTGGAATAAAACGGAGTGAAATAATAAAGTAGGGCGCATCAGGTGCAAATGCAACCTAATGGGTTGTTAACAAGATGCAGGGCTTTCCCATTGACGAAGTAAAATCGTCTGGCGTTAGATAAGTAAAAAAAAAATAAGTAGGGCACACTGGGGCGCATTGTGGCTCAATGGGTTAACCCGTTGAGTACCAGTGCTCTCCCTCTTGACAAGCTCAATCATCTTGAGTTAGACAGAGTGAATTATGGGTGCATTATGGTGCAATGCAATTTTACTTGCCAACAAAATGGTTGATTTCTTTATTTTTAAATCCAAAGCAGGGGAATGGAGGTGGTCGACCTGCAAGGAAGCGTGTCAGCCCTGATGTTCAACTGTTTGGAGAAATGATATTTGGATCAGTTGAAATGACATACAAGGGACCGACAGTCAAAGCTCATTCTATCAGGTAAACCATTCATAAAATATATGAAATATGGCAGTTTATGATGCATATTGGTTGAATTAAAAAATCTAGGCAATCTTTCATCATTTAAATTACAATTAAAAATGTCGTTACTAAAAAAATACTCAATTTAAAATGCAATTTATTATAAACTTATTGCTATCAGAACTAAATAATTCATCATACATTTTTGTAATTATTTTAGCTGTATTTATGAGCTCAACATGGCACAATATAAGGGAGCCTAAATGTTTAAGCCCTAGGCTTCAGCTTTTTTAGGCTTCCTTGTCACAATTTCATGCGTATGCACTTATATACAATGTACATAATTAATGATATGATTGTGACAGACCAAATAAAATTATTATTATTATTAAAGTAACTATTTCTATAAATAATTAACAATTTTTGTATATAAAATTATATCATGCATGTATAAGTGATTCAAGTAGTCAATTGTATATATCTATAAATGTTCTATTAATAAATTTTTTATTATTATTATTATTATTATCATTATTATTCCATGCATGTATAAGTGATTCAAGTAGTCAATTGTAGGTTACCTCAAGAAGTGAGATTTACAATTGTATATATCTATAAATGTTCTATTAATAAAGTTTTCATTATTATTATTATTATTATTATTATTCCATGCATGTATAAGTGATTCAAGTAGTCAATTGTAGGTTACCTCAAGAAGTGAGATTTACAATTGTATATATCTATAAATGTTCTATTAATAAAGTTTTCATTATTATTATTATTATTATTATTATTATTATTATTATTATTATTATTATTACATGCATGTATAAGTGATTCAAGTAGTCAATTGTAGGTTACCTCAAGAAGTGAGATTTACAATTGTATATATCTATAAATGTTCTATTAATAAAGTTTTCATTATTATTATTATTATTATTATTATTCCATGCATGTATAAGTGATTCAAGTAGTCAATTGTAGGTTACCTCAAGAAGTGAGATTTACAATTGTATATATCTATAAATGTTCTATTAATAAAGTTTTCATTATTATTATTATTATTATTATTATTATAGAGAATATTAATTAACTATAATGTTGTTGTTTACTAGAACACCTCCACAGTTACTGCTGACCAAAGTATTTGCACTGAAACCACCAAGAGCGTTACACCATGGGGGCAGGTATGTCAACAACACATCTCTAATATGTCTCACTAACCCATTGAGCACTTGGCAGCACTCTCTCCGTAGTGATTAAAATTGTCTGGTATGATAAAATAGGGCGCATTGGCTCCCAAAACAACTTAAAGGGTTAACCCATTAAATTGCAGTGCATCCTGCTTTATTATTTTATTCTTTCTAATGCCAAACGATTTCACTTCTCAATGGGAGAGCGCTAGCATCCAATGGGTTAATTAAAATCTGAGGAAAGAATCGATTAAGTCTGTTTGATAGGCAGGTACAAATTTACCAGGGTTGTGGACTTTCCAAGAGGGTGCACCTGTTTATTGCTAAGTAACAATAAATTTACCCTTCTGTGTATTGCACCGACCCTTCATGATCTAGGTGGTCAACTGCAACTGCCTTCGTTCAGTTCGAGAACGCTCCCCCCCTTTGCACATTGATGTTTAATGACGTACCTCTATTCATCAGTGGCATACCGCAGCTATGACACCTAGCTTCTGGCCAGTTTTTACTGACCTTTACAGTACGGTACTGATAATTTGCATGCAATCAATTTTACTGACACATTTTCTAAAAAGTGAGGTGTTGAACCCCCCCCCCCCACACACACACACACACACTCATCCCCTGTTTGATACGCCCATGTCATTCATCTTTTGGGTGATGCAGCTCCTCTTTTGTAGTAGCATTGTTTTTTTGTAATTCTTCAGTTATCTTTTGTTTTATATTTATAGCCACACATCCAGTCATTCCAATATGTCTAACTCTTTGTCAGAGTACAGTTCAAGTGTTTGTTTAAGTGAATCAATTTCAAGCGTTTCATCTTTTACATCTCCTGTCACCAGCTCAGGTAGTGTAATGTCTACTGTAACTGTATTTATAAAATGTAAATGGTTTATTAAACTACTTGTAGTTACATTTAAGAACTAAATTCACATTTTTATACACACTGCCACCAAGATACACATATGAAATGCCGGATTTGGTAACGCCAGCTCTTTAAATTGTAATACTTAATTTAGGACATAAAGCCTCTTACACACTTTTTTATACAGTATATATAATTGGCTTATCATGATAAGATAGTAGTTGAAGAAATTTGTAATGTGGCCAAAAATTTTGAAAATTTTGTTATGTGCATTAACTACAGTATATACCGCAAACATAATTTTTCATAAATTCATGTCACTCCAGATAACGAAGAGAGTACAATTGTAGCAAAGTCGGTTCCAGTCTCTAGCAATGTTGTATCCTTTCCTCGGTCAATTCAACTTCAAAATATTGCTGAAGGATTTTCAAATTCCACATCAGGTAAATCTATATATTGTTTCTTCAGGTCAGTCAGCTAATCTTCAGGTCAGTCAGTTAATCAAAGTTAATGGACCATTTGCATTATAGACTAAATTTGATCTAGACAAGTCTAGACAAAAATTTCATCACAGCTTGAAAGAGCATCACAAAATTAGTAATATTCCAAAGTTTCGTTGCGAAATGTTGTAAAATGCAGATAATATATAGCCTTGCGGAATTTGCCGTTTTTCAGTCATTTTAACTTTGGAATATTACTAATTTTCTGATGCTCTTTCAAGCCGTGATGAAATTTTTGTCTAGAGCAAAATTTAGTCTATAATGCAAATGGTCCATTAGACTATCTGTCGATACCCTAGAAAAAGAAGGCCTGTAATATCTGCCCAATTGCATCCCTTTAAGTCGCAATGCACCCTGATGTGCCCCAATTTGTTATTTTACTCCATCTAATGCCAGACAATTTTACTTGTCAATGGGAGAGCTTTAGAGTGCTGCTACCCAATGTGTTAGGAAGAGATTATTTCGCTGGCCTCAGAGTGACAAAACGTAACAAAGCAACGGTTACTAACACTAACCCTATTCCAAACACCAACTCTAACCCTAATCCAAACACCAACTCTAACCCTAATCCTTACCCTACCCCTAACCTAACCCTACTCCAAATTTGTTTCTAAATCAATCTTGAAGAAAAAGGTTTTGACGAAATGTCACTCAGAGGTCAGCAAAATAACTTCTTCCAATGAGTTAAAGTGACTACTACTTTAACATATGTTATGACATATCCAAATTTTAAAATGTTCAAAAAGTTTCATTATACGTACCCTGTAGTTTCCTCAGTGGACACCAGCCGTTCTCTGACATTTCCACGAACGTCATCAAGCAGTTACCAGAGGCGTTGGCTACGCAGTCAGGAGACTCGCATGGAATATGGATGTAGGAGACGAAATGAATATTTTAGTGAAGAGGTACATGTACTATTTTGTACCTTTATTTTTTTATTTTTTATGAGCTGTGCAGTTCCAGAAATTTCATCTCGGATCCAGTTCCTGTTTTTTGGGGGTTGGAAGAAGAACCTTGGTTTCGGTTTTGGTATTTTCAAAAGAAGAGCAATTCAAAGCATTTGCTCAATAAATTGTAATGTTTGGTACCGACTTATGGACCGACCAAATATTTTGGTTAACTGCTCAGCTTTATTTTATATTGGATGTTTCAGTCAGTTCTGAACTTCTGATTATGTGATAAATTACTGTAGACCATTTTAAACAACCCTTTCCTCTCTTTATTTTATCAGATGTCCATGCGGTTGCGACGTCGACCAAAAATTGGCATTGGAATTTTGTTCTCCCTTTGGGAAGGCAAAAGCACATCCGAAGAAAATAATAGGTATATATTTTTTGAACTAGTGGTGCTGCCTTGAAGACTGATAACAAACTTTGAATAGCTCTGACATTTAAAAGTAATATATAAATTTAATACCCCTTCCCCTTGCACCTGAAGGGTCCTTGCACACCCCTGTCCACTCCCACCCGCTATAAATACACCAATGACCATTATTGTATCACACATTCCCACATAATTAAACCACTCATTTGTTTTTTCTTTAGGCTATTTCAAAATTTCGTTTTTTCTCACTTTCCCCTATTCGAGTCTCATGTTCATCGCTTGAAACGAATGGTCGAGAAGGCATTGTTGTCCTCAGTTCAAATGTCTGGGAAATCTTTTCAGGATGCTCTTCTTAATGTATGTGCTTTTACAACGATCTCTTCTACAGTACTGTATAAATGTTATTGATGTAAAGTTAATGCTTCTGCCTTTCACTGTTAGTTTAGTTTAGGTTTCCTCCTGTAGTAATACCGGATCAATAAGAGATGATTCTTACTGGACCTCTAGAAAGTACAGTTTAGAACTGATAGAGCTATCCACTATAAATAAAGTTAGTTCAGTTTAGGTTTCCTCCTGCATGTACAGTAGTAACACTGGATCAATAAGAGATGTCCCTTACTGGACCTATAGAAAGAACTTTTCAGAACTGATAGAGCTATCCAGTATAGTTTAGTAGTTTAGGTCTCCTCCTGTATTAACACTGAATCAATAAGGGATGAGATCCTTACTGGAAATAAATAAAGTTATAAAGAGATGATCCTTATTGGAGCTCTATGGAGAACAGTTTAGAACTGATAGAGCTAAGAGATTGCTCTTACTGGACCTCAAGGAAGAACAGATTAGAACTGGTAGAGCTATCCAGTATAAGTAAAGTTTAGTTTCCGTTTCCTCCTGTAGTAACATTGGATCAATAAGCAGAGCCGTAATGAAGAGGATAGAGGAAGGGGATGTAGTATCAGTTTTGCTTGCCGACAACATTTCTCTCGCTAATTAATCTTTTTCCCCGAAATTGTTGGCGAGCGGAAACGATTTGCCGATAAAACCTTTATTTTGCTGAAAAGACGTTTTCAGGTAGGGTTTCACACACCCCTATAGCTACAACCCTGTCAATAAGAACGATCCTTACTGGAATTTCATTCAGTTAAATCTTTTCTTTACCACGTTTTAGGCAGCAAACACATTCGCAACTAATATTCTCAATTTGTACTATGCTCCCAGAATTAGGGTAAGTTCACATATTACACAAAAGACAACATCAGCTAATATTTGTTCGTATCCAATTCACCACTTTGTAAAATTTGCATGCTTTAGTTACTAACAAATTAAAGTAACCAAACATTAAAATCTCCCATTATATATTATGAGTAAGTAATTTGTGTAGAAAATTCTAATATCACTAGATTACCTCTGTTCTATTCTATGCTTTTGTAAACTGAAACAAGCTAGCCATGTGAGCTACAGGGTATCTAAAATTTTGAATCTGGTATAAACAAGTGCTAGAATATTTCAAACATGAATTAAGTCAAACATAATACTTTGTTGAAATTTCAGAATCCAGTATGGCTGACAATGTTATCTCAACCGGACCAATGTAATACAATATGCGATGACTTCGTGCCCCAACTTGTCAACGCCATTGAATTATATAATACGAAACAAACTAATCAGTAAGTAGCTTTTGTCAGGTTAGAGTTGCCGGAATGTGTTGATAGTTGTATTGTTGGTGCAAATCACAGGAAAAAAACCAATTTATTAATATTCCAATGACGGTAAAAGTTCAGTTTAATAATGGTTTCAACATGACAGGGCTCGAAATAACGTTCGCAACGTTCCCGATCATGGTGATCGGCAATGAGGACTTTTTGCCGATCAAATAAAAATCTGGCCGATCAGGAGCATTTACCCTCATTTCCTTCAAGAAATTCTAAATATGCCAGTGGGCATTGAATACACATTTGAAGTTTAACTTTATTTCAAATTGAAGTTTAAATCTATGACATTTGTGGACTTATATATACCCTACTAATAGTGTAACTATATTTAACTAGGGCTTAATAAACTTTATTTTATTATAACACTTTAGTTTAACACACAGTTTTAATTATACCATTGCATTTTTTCACACAAAAGCAAGAAACACAGCAGCATTATCAATTAAGAACTAAAACTTATTATTTTATATTAAAAGAGAAAATCTTACTAAAAATAAAAAATCCTACTCAAAAAATCCTATGAATTTGAAATTATTATACAAAGATACGTTCGTCGTCAGCGGTTCGGATTGCAAACTGTACTGTTGAAAAGACGACAATATTTCGTGTAAATTTGTTTTAATAAAAGTAAATTAATTACTTCAGAGCGAGAATAGTATTGCTGCCTTTCCTGTCGTATGACTCGTATCAACTATACAAGCAACCTCGTTCCCAGGCTCTTTGCTCTTGTGAAGCACAAGAGCAAAGAGCCTGGGAACGAGGTTGCTATACAAGAGCTTTTCGCGTGTTTTTAAATGTGTTTTATGTTTACTTTTATTTGTCTTTTACCGTGTACAGGTAAGCATGTCTTTTAGACAATCCTCAAATATATTTCTTGCCGATCAAGGTGAACGGCAACGTTGATTCTTCACCGATCAAAAACAATTTCCTGCCGATCATTGATCGTTGATCGGCCGTTATTTCGAGCCCTGACATGATAAATCTTTTAAAAAAAACTCAATATTGGAAAATAGATTTTTAGTTTTTTTTAAATTTTCTCTGTGGTAACACTGCATTACAAATTCTACTTTAGTTTCTTGTCTTCGCTGTTGACTGCTGTGATGACGTATCATGTTGCCTGGGTAACGACAGTGACGCCATCATCTGACGTTGCAAGGCGAGCGTACCTGGACAAACATTTGTCAGAATCTGTAAGTTGTGTGGATATTTTTTAGTATAATATGTTCCTTTCTGAAAGCACGTCACTTTGGCTACAGAGCCTCGTTTTCGTGAGAGAAATGTTGAGTTTAACTTTTGTTAACGAAAGGCTGTTTAGCCAAGTTGACATACTTTCCGAAAGTGTGTATTGTATTTATTTAGTTCAAAATTCCAGAAAATAAGTGACATTTTTTTCTCACTCTGGTAACTGCCAGTTATTATTATTATTATTATTATTATTATTATTATTATTATTATTATTATTATTATTATTATTATTATTATTATTATTATTATTATTTAAACATTTTATTTAAAGGATTGTTTGGTTTTAAAAAAACAAACTTAGAACAAAATGACATTTTTTTAATATTATCAGTATAGACCAAAACATATATTTCTTTTATATATTGAATTTTAATCTTAACTTAATAACTTTGTACAATTTTATCGAGCTTCTAAACAATTAAATTATTATTATTATTATTATTATTATTTATTATTTATTACTTAGAAAACTTTATTTAAAGAAGGTTAATTACAAGGAAATATGCCAGTTTAGCTTTCGCTAATCTTCCACTGGACCTTCTAAAGTTAACTATACAATTAAATATATTTACATGCAGTACAATTTACATTTCTACAGACTACAGTATTCATCATTACATAAAGTACATATCGATATAGGTATAACAAATTAGAATTAACATACACTGTACATCTTACGAGTTATTTTTATACATATCCATAAACAATTACGCTTGAATGCTTGAAATGAGCTGAAAAATCTAATATCTGGTGGCAACATATTATAAAAATATGCTCCAGTGTACCGAAGTCCGCTCCTGGTGATTGTCAGTTGGTCACCATCTGTCGTACAAAAGGGTGGTACTAAGTTAACATACAAATGTCGCGCCAGAGAATTGACTGAGTGCTTACTTGGGAGTTTTATTTTTAAGCTTAACGTCCTTGGTGAATCCCATCCATACAATCCATTGTGGGCTCAGTTGAGGTAAGATATTTCTAAGAAGCCCTCTAGGGAGAACAGTTAGAGTTATCCAGTATAAATAGATTAATTTAGTTTAGGATTCCTAACTTTACTTAATTCTGAGTACATGTACGTGTAATACTGAACCAACAAGAGATGATCCTTACTGAACCTCTAGGAAGAACAATTTAGAACTGATAGAGCTATCCAGTATAAAAAAAGTTAGTTTAGTTTAGGTTCCTCCTGTAGTAACACTGGATCAATAAGAGATGGTCCTTACTGAACCTCTAGGAAGAACAGTTTAGAACTGATAGAGCTATCCAGTATAAAAAAAGTTAGTTTAGTTTAGGTTCCTCCTGTAGTAACACTGGATCAATAAGAGACCCTCTTATTGAACAGTTTGGAACTAATAGAGATATCCAGTATAAATAAAATTCGGTAGTTTAGGTCCTCCTGCAGTACCCCTGGATCAACAAGAGATGATCCTTACTGGAGCTCTAGGGAGAACAGTTTAGAACTGACAGGGCTATCCATGCAGTACAAATAAAGTCAATGTTGTGTTTTATTTATTTGTTTGTTGTTTTTTTTAACTAGTGAACTCTACGGTGCTTGCGGTGCACCAGCAAAAATGGCACGAACAGTGATTATCGGTCAAGACCAACAAATTGTCACCATCATTCTTCATATACTATCATACTTTATACGCTGTAGTGAGGTCTTTGAACAGCCACTGGAACAATCACCTAAAAATCTTAATTCATATCTCAAATCTTTGGAAACCCAATTAGAAGCGGACGAAATCGACACGCAAGTGAAATCGAGGTGTGATACTATTAGCGAAAACTCCGACGATTTATCGACAGGATCTGTAAGATCCAACAAAGAATCAAAGTTCGGCAAAAATTCTCAAGTTTTATCACAGAATTCGAAGAGTTACTTGCGAGACGCTGAAATGGCTTCCGAAAATTTGGTGGCGAACTCTACTGATGATTTTGAGAAATGTGAAGTAGTCTCACATTGCCCTGAGATAAATTTGGAAAATTCTAACTGTTCTGAAACGAAGTTAACAGTAGAAAATGTTGATTCTTGTGGCGAAGATTCAGGTATTTGTTCAATAGACTTGGATAGTTCTGTGGAAATACCAAAAAATGATGTGAAGAATTGTGTTAATTGTGGTTTTCAAGAATGCGAGAAAGAGCCAAAGAACTCTGTAGAAAATTCTGAGAATTGTTCACAAAATTCTGAAAATTGTTCGCAAAATTCTACAATTTGTACAACGGATGCTGAAAATTTCTTGCAAGATTCGAATAATTGTGTAAACGATTCTATAAATTCTACACCAGATTCGGGAAGATGTTCGCAAAATTCTGAAAATTGTGTACAAAACTCTACTAGTTCTGGAAGAGATTTAGAAACAAGTATTAAAGATGGCAAATATATTTCAAAAAAATGCGAGAAGTGTTTTGAAAATTGCCAGAATTGTACTGAAAATTCAAGGGAGAAAATTCAGCAAAAATCTCGGTCGAATTCAAAAGATAAATTATGCGAAGAATGTGATAACCTTACCATTCCTGTTCCAAATCGGACTTCGTGTGGTGTTATTTTAGAGAGAAATACAGAATTATGTAATTGTAATGGCGTATTTAACGGACACAGTAAGGAACACAAACTTTGGAAATCATTTCTGAGAACATCTTGCTGCCACAAGGATTCTCGTAACTTAACCAGACGATGCTTATCAGCAAATTCTGTTGACGAAAATGTAAATTCTAGAACAAAACTAACTCGCAGATACAGTTCGGAAAAAGGCTCAGACTATGACAGCGGATCTAAACTTTGTGTTCAAAACGATGGGAAAATTTTGTCGCTGGATCGACAAAGTATTCTAGACATGTTTTTGACCTCCTATCCTTTATGTCCGGTTTGCAAAGGACAGTTAAATTTTGTCGATCAAGATTTTGTAAAAGATCCGAAGATTTTGCGTAGTCCATCTTCAGGCTGTTTGTGTCAAGATTGTGAAAAAGTAAAATCGTGTGCTTGTCAAGTTGTTGATACCGATTTGGACAAGAACGAACGATGTGCTTCGTCTATTACAGTGAATTCGGACGATTATTCAAGCGGGATTTCGTTGCAATCTTCCGAAGCGGAACGATGTTCCCTGAGTAGCTTGTCTGTCGATTCGGACTTAAATGAACAGTGTTTGCTGTCAAGTGAAAATTTGGTTGATAATGAGGACCAGGCTTTTACGTTGGAGTTACCTGAGGCTCAGTAAGTAATAGGAAGACCATTATAAGATTATGGGAGGATTTTCAGAGCAAAGGCTCTGCGGGGGAGAGGGTGCCAAACATTTAGGGCGGGGAGATGAGCGACACGGCACACCAAACAAGCTCCAGCAGGGTCTGGGGGCACAGTTGCTAATGGGGGTATAAAGGCCCCCAGGAAATTTTAAGATTTTGGTCTCATTTAGTGCAAAACCCTTGTTTTTAGTCCTACTTATTTAGTCTACCGTCATTTAATCCAACGAGCGATTACATTTCTGGGGGTGCAAGTTTCTCTAGGTTGGGTGGGAAAACATTCTGAGTGGGGGTAAGATCTTTTTTTGAGGTGCACACCCCCTCATGCACCCCCTAGAAAATCCATCTATGGGTGAAATCACGTATATAAGCCCTGTTTAAACGTCAAAGCTCACATGAACAGATCTTTTTTGCTCTTTGAGTCGGCCTGAGGTCGAGCTAAATCTGACTTGATTCAGACGTTGTTGATCTTAAAGTTAGAATCAAGAAAACTAATACAGTGTTTTATTTGTTTCTAGACTTGATGAAAACTTTACAGAAGATGATATGTCTTGCAAGAAGTAAGTTTGTTTGTGTTAATTCTTCTTTAACTTAAAGTGTCACGCACTTATGCAATCAGAGGCATAGCCCCCCCCCCCCCCCCACCACCAAATCTGGGACTTTCAGATTATCATAAAATGTGTCTAAAATGGTTGAAATAATGTTTCGCAGAAATAATGAAATAATTTTTTCAGGGGGATCATGCACCCACATGGACAGGTGATTGGACACCCCTTTCCCATTTGTTTGGTGCTGGCTACGCCCCTGTATGCAATCACGTACCTCTGACTCTGCCTCATAAACTATGTCTAATATGCCAAATAATTTCCTTAGATCAATTAGATTAATAAATCACAGATTAAATCTATTGTATGTTTTCGTTCTTTCCCCTTAGCTCTCAAGACTGTCAGCTCTTTAGTTTTGGAAGATCGCTCATGGCCGGGTAAGCTTAAAGTCTAGTAACATAGTAGTATACCTTATGTCATCTTTATTACAACGACATATTTTCTGTCTTTCAGATATTGTGATCAGTATGTACCAGATTTTGTTCTCCATGGTACCGTCCACTGTACAGAAGAACAGGTGAAGCAGAGCATGCAGATCTCCCTTGAAGTAAGCCAATATTTTTAACAAAGACATTTAAAAGGGATGTAGAACTGATAGAGCAATCCACTATAAATAAAGTTAGTTTAGTTTAGGTTTCCTCCTGTAGTAACACTGGATCAATAAGAGGTGATCTTTACTGGACCTCTAGGGAGAACAGTTTAGAACTGATAGAGCTATCCAGTATAAATAAAGTTAGTTTAGTTTAGGTTTCCTCCTGTAGTAACACTGGATCAATAAGAGATGATCTTTACTGGACCTCTAAGGAGAACAGTTCAGAACTGATAGAGCGATCCAGTGTAAATAAAGTTAGTTTAGTTTAGGTTTCCTTCTGTAGTAACACTGGATCTCCAGGGAGAACAGTTAAGATCTGATAGATCTATCCAGTATACAGTAAATAAAGGCTGTTTATAGTTTCGTCCTGCAGTAACACAGGACCGATAAGAGATTGCCCTTACTCGACTTCGAGGAAGAACAGTTTAGAAATGATAGAAATATCAAGTATAAATATAGAAAATTTAGTTTATCAGGTTTTAAATCCTGATTTTTTTAAACTTTTTGTGAACTTTAGCAACCAGTTGTGGACAGTCCAATATCCGAATCTGTTATCATCACTGGAGACACAAATAAATGGTTAGTATTTCACTTTTATATACACCTTGTAATATTAGTTTAAACCTTATTCATGTTTACTTCATTTCACCAGGGAATGCACGATCAAGACACTGCCAAAGCAGAGAAGAAGCATAGGGTAATTAAGATTTAAATAATTGTGTAGTAAATTAAGTGGTTGCCTTTGGTCCCCCTTTGACGAGAAAGATTATCTGACGTTATACAGAGTAAAATAATAAAGTAGGGCGCAATACATGTTAATGGGTTAATATATCATCAATAATTGATTAATCAATACTGTATATCAGCTAAGAAATTATTGTTCTACTTTTGATAGAAATCATCCCAGCGGAGTTCGCGTGAAGAAAGTAGAACGTTCAACATTGGTTCACAATTTCCTCACATCATTTTGTGATCTCTGGGAACTCAACATGCCTGCTAGTTTTGTAAGGAAGCTAAACTAACTTTATTTATACTGGATAGCTCTATCAGTTCTAAACTGTTCTCCATAGAGGTCCAGTAAGGATTATCTCTTATTGATTCAGTGTTACTACAGGAGGAAACCTAAACTAAACTAACTTTATTTATACTGGATAGCTCTATCAGATCTAAACTGTTCTCCATAGAGGTCCAGTAAGGATTATCTCTTATTGATTCAGTGTTACTACAGGAGGAAACCTAAACCAAACTAACTTTATTGATACTGGATAGCTCTATCAGATCTAAACTGTTCTGCCTAGAGGTCCAGTAAGGATCATCTCTTATTGATCCAGTGTTACTACAGGAGGAAACCTAAACTAACTTTATTTATACTGGATAGCTCTATCAGTTCCAAACTGTTCTCCCTAGAGGTCCAGTAAGGATCATCTCTTATTGATCCAATGTTACTACAGGAGGAAACCTAAACTAACTTTATTTATACTGGACAGCTCTATCAGTTCCAAACTGTTCTCCCTAGAGGTCCAGTAAGGATCATCTCTTATTGATCCAATGTTACTACAGGAGGAAACCTAAACTAACTTTATTTATATTGGACAACTCTATCAGTTCCAAACTGTTCTTCCTAGAGGTCCAGTAAGGATCATCTCTTATTGATCCAATGTTACTACAGGAGGAAACCTAAACTAACTTTATTTATACTGGACAGCTCTATCAGTTCCAAACTGTTCTCCCTAGAGGTCCAGTAAGGATCATCTCTTATTGATCCAATGTTATTACAGAAAAATGTTTCAATATTCAACTAACAGCAGTCAGGAACATGTGGTTGATGTAAAATTATAATCAGACAACTGCGTATTGAACGAACCAAGCCACGGCCACAGTGCCACTGAAACCACACCAACACCTATTGAAAACTCATGTAGATAATTTTGTTTTCAGTGTTTGATGCATCTTGAGGACAAGATGAAAGAATTATATTTAAGAAGCAAGGTACTTTTATTTTGTTAAGGTTACAGGACACCGTTTTTGGCGTTTTGCGGAAAATCGCTACTGCGCGCTCAATATCAGTCCGATTTTCATCAAATTTTCACCAAATGTTCTCCAGTGCATGCAAAATATGGTAAAGTTGTAAAATTAACAAACAATAAAATAATGTAAAAATTATTCAGGAAAATCTTAAATCGCGGTACCTTTACGCTTTTGAGTTGTGCTCCTGCTGGTTTTAAGTTATATTTATGAAAATATCATTTTTATACAGTAAAATAGTTGTTCTAAAAAATTGTGTTCGGAAATTTTTGTTTATTTCGTCATTCCGCTGATATGGCGATTTCTTTGACGACTGCAATATATTTCTGAATTGTTTGAGTGAATTGCTCTTTATTTTTAAAATATCCAAAATTTAAAAAAAGCCGAAAACAATTTTGAAACTGACATATTTAGCTATGTCCTGTGAAAATTTGAGAAAAATTGGTTAAAACCCGCAGGAGCATAACTCGTTTGAAAATCAGTAATTACCGTAAAATTTTTCGTGAGAAAATTGAATTTGAATATTACATTTTCAATGTTTTTCTTATTGCAGCGAAATGTATTTTACTAAATAACTCAGCGAGTTTTCAAAATTTTCCGTTCAAACTTGGTCAGATAGTAGAACTAGTCTAATGCTTTCATTGAAACCAATAAAAAAATTTTAGGCAAAATTAACACTCAAAGGTGTTCTGTAACCTTAAGCCAATATAACTATGGTCTGGTACAGTACTTCTGTTTTTTTAGGCAAGTACCACATAGGTATGCAGTACTCTCGCTATCCATGTATAGTAATGTATAATCCACTTGTTTATTCAGGAGAGTAGCCAGCCCCAAGTGAGTGGGAGCTAGGTCTAATTATCCGGCCATCTGGGGACATGGTCCACTGGATGTATGCTATTTCATGCAGTTTAGACATGTTTTATGATAAAAACATTCAGAATTATACCCCCCCCCCCCCAGTTTATCAGTTTTGAAAAGAATTACAGTACACAATTGGTCTCTACATGTACCTCTGTGTTTATTGTCTGTAGGCGGGCAACATTAGCAAAATTTGCATACCAGTGGTTAAATGATTTGTCTTTTGTTAGGTTGTTTCCGAGTACTTGTTGACACAGAAGTATGTAACGATGAGAGATCTCATGTCAACATTTGGGTAAGATTGCATTTTGTTTAACCTTTGAGTGGCAATGCGCCCTACTTTATTATTTTACTCTGTCTAACGCCAGACAATTTAACTTTTCTGATGGAGAGTGCTGCTGTCACCACGCAATGGGTTAATGAGACTGCTCTGCACATGCATCCTGTTAACCCTTTGAGTGGCAATGCACCCTACTTTATTATTTTATTCTGTCTAATGCCAGACGATTTTACTCGTCAGGGGCCGGTTGTTCAAAGCTGGGTTAGCTTAACCCTGGGTTAACCTAAAATTCGAAGAACACTTCCTCACAGCTTGTCTATAAATTTGGAAATATTTCTTCAGAGATCTTGTCTGGATCGATAAGAGTTTACTTCTCTGAAGTTTTGAAATAAACGGATGTGCAGAAATACTGTACGTACGTAAACTAAAACAGTTGGTTAAATTTTAACACAGGGTTAGCGCTAACCCACCTTTGAACAACCGGCCCCAGGGGGAGAGTGGGAGGACAGTGTTGCCACTCAAATTGGGTCGATGTTGCATTGTTTAGCCCATTAAGTTGCATTGTGCCCTAATATGCTCTAATTTGACTCTGGCACAGGTGCTCAATGGTTTAGTCATGAAAAATTAGATTTATTTGCCATATTAGACCTAACATACCAGTACATAATTTGCCACAGGTTTCCTAATACAGGGACCTCTCATCTATTGGACCTTTCCCCTTATAACTAAAATTTCGATCTAGACAAAAATTTCATCACAGCTTGAAAGAGAATCATAAAATTAGTAATATTCCAAAGTTTTGTTGCAAAATCTTGTAAAATGCGGATAATATAGCCTTGCGAAGTTTGCCGTTTTTCAGTCGTTTTGTATTACAAACGGGAAATTGACATCCGATTCGGGTGTTGGGGCTGCAATTTCCCGTTTGTAATGCAAAATGACTGAAAATTGCAAACTTCGTAAGGCTCTATTTTCCTCATTTTACAACATTTCGCAACGAAACTTTGGAATATTACTAATTTTGTGATGCTCTTTCAAGCTGTGATGAAATATTTGTATAGACTTGCCTAGATCAAAATTTTGGTTATAAGGGGAAAGGTCTATTGGCCATTTCCAAAACCTTGACATATGGGCACATCTTAAATATACCACAATGAACAATGTGGACACATTTTAAATGTAATCACAATGTATCAAGTAAGACCGTGGCCAGGCATATTTTTCAAGCTTGCCTAGTGCGGTTATACACTCAGAGTAACATCACAAGCATCATATTCACCTGAGTACATTACACCAACACAAAAGAAAAATTAAGTAAGATCTTTCGAAAACACATACTTCTCTTAAAGACAGCTCCAATACAACTGTAATAAATTTAAAAGTTACTAGTGTTATACATTTATTATAGAATTCTGACGGTGCAATCTGTGAATCTTGGTCCTGTTCTTTATCGAAAAATTTAAACCTTTCTAACCCAGATTTTGTGATTACTTTTTAGCTATGGTGAATGCGATTTGGCATTAATAATGAGCATCATTGGTGTGCACTCCCCCCTGGCTATCTCGCGTATACCACTACCCTGATCGATCACAGGTAAGGAAAGTCAGGGGGGTGTTTTCTATGCTTTTGACCTAGCGATTTGACCTAAAAATTTCTTCCAGAGCTTATTACATAGTATTTATCGTCTAACTGGCCAATTTCTCCCAGTGTTTTTATCTATGGTCCTGCCTGTGGTCCCCCCTTTCCATTTGGCATTTGATCCAAATTTTTCGAAAGTGTTTGTTTTGATCAGGGAAATGATTTTCGACATGCAATAGTTTTCCAGTAGTTTTCCGCGATCGGATCGGATTTGCAGAAGACTTTCAGGTAATTTTCAGGGCATGAGAAAGTGAATTTGGGAAAATAACTGTATAAGGGGAAAATTAAGATATATCCGAAATTTTTTTTTGTATTTTTGGAAAAATTATAAAATATTCGCAAAAATCTTTGTATATTCAAAATATTTTTGTATGTCAGGAAAAATTTTCGGTGACCCCCCCCCCCAACAATTTTTGGGAGAAATATTAATTAGCGACTAAAATCAGGTAAAAACAATAATTTTTGTAACTTCAGGTAAATCTAACCTCACATACCAACTGAGGCAAAGTCCTCGCAACGGCACTGCACTTGGGAAATCACTCATACGGGGACTCACAGACAAAGGTATATTGATAATGGTCATATTTCAAAGCTATCGTTCCTGCCATTTCTACACTGTCATCTGAACGCTTAACTATCTAAATCTGGTCATACCGCATCAGTGAAAAAGGTACACTTTTAGCAAACATACTTATTTAATCTACTTTTTTAAAAATATACATAGTGTTTCCTAGCAAATATTGTTATCAGCGGATGTCTATACTGTATAGAAACTAATTTAATATAATTAAATTAATTTTATAATTTAAGTTCCACCTTTGCGACGCAGTAAATAAGGCCAAAAAAAAATATGTGGGTTTCCGGTTTCCCGACCCTACCTAGCTTTTGGACGTCGAAATCCCGACCCTAAACTTTTTTATTGGATCATGCTTGTAAGTGTTTCCACTTAGAGGAAAAAGTTTGTGGAACATTGAAATTTGAGGAAATATTAGGGAAATTTATCTTTGGATGTGGAAGCACTGACTAAACAAAATGGTGTCCGCTTGTTCGGAAAATTAAAAAAAAAAGTTTAAAAAAAAAAGTTAAAACCGACCTACCCTACCTAAGTTTTTATAAGAAGAAACCGGAAACCCACATATTTTTTTTTGGCCTAATAGAGGCGTGCAAATCCGATCGGATTCGTTCGGATTTCGGAACCAAAATATTCATATCGGATCGGATTGATAAAGTTGTTTCGCAGTCGGATCGTATCGGACTTCGATATCCAAAATAAAATGAATTAATTATCCACGCACTATCGCAAGAATTAATTATCCATGCATTTATCATGCATTTATCGCGGTTGTCGCTACATTTTTAGTTTGATACTTCAATTGGACGTAACTTTGTCAGTTTCTTGACATGTATTTCTTGCTTTTATATTTATTTGGTTAAATATTTCAACTTGAATGAGAAATCTATTTTATTAAAGAATTCTTCGGATCGGATTGGAATTCTTTATTAAAACTCGGATCGGATTCGGATTGGACAATTTCGGATCGGATCGGATTTTAAACATTAGCCAACTGTCGGATTATAAACGTTCAATCCGATCCGATGCACACCTCCAGTAAATAATCCACATTTTGGTCAGAGTCGGTGACACTGTAATATTTATAATTAGAAACTCTTCTAGATTATTAAAACAGAAATAAATGTTTTAAAAACAAATATTTTTCAAAAATTCACCACCTTACAATTACCCTAGACCGCGAGCAATCCCTCGGGAGAAAGGTGGATCCGCCCACGAAATACGCCCATAGAGACGGAGCCAATCCGTCTCCGCATCAACATTACTTATTTCCAATAAAATCTATCCAATACTAACCGTTAATTTCATCTTTATTTATAAAATCAACATTCAGTCCGGAAATTATTTATATCATATAATTACTGCGTATAAGATTTCATTGACGGGCACATCGATTTCGACCAATGGGAATTTTGCGTTGTGTGGGCAACGCGTATGTCGCTTCTTAATGATGTGTTGTAGGCAGTCCCTCCTTTCCTTTCGCATGCCCAGAAAGGAGGGACCGCTCGCAGTCTACAATTTCGCAATTTTTGGTTATTTTTGAAAAAGCTGCCCAAAAACGGTTCCTTTATAGGCGTAAATAAAAATACCTGTTGTTCCGGTTCCCGACCGACCCTATTTTTTTCTGCCGACGCTATTATTTTTTCAACGCGATTGACCGTGCGACCCTATTTTCTCCAGGTGGTTGCGGGCTGCTGCCAAAATGGCGTCTGTTGTCACACTAATTATTGAAAAAACCATGAAAAAATATTTAAAAAAAAATTATTTCCCACCTACCGACCCTAATTTTTTCGCGATATGAAACCGGAACCACCGGTATTTTTTTACGCCTAACCCTTTTTTATTCAGAAAAATCGCACATTTTTTTAAGAATTTAAACAAGTAAAGTTATAGCCTATACTTTTCGTTCATTTTCAGCCTCTTTTTTCATTCCTGAAAAGGGTGAGAAAAAAACACGACAAAAAAAGTAATGTTATAGCCTTAACTTTTTCTCCATTTTCAGCGACTTTCATTTTTCATAAAGGGGCAAAATACAGCAAAAAAGGAAGGCTATAGCTTTTACTTTTCGTCCATTTTCAGCGACTTTTTTTATCTTTCATAAATGGGCAAAAAAGAGCAAGGCTGTAGCCTTAACTTTTCGTCCATTTTTAGCCACTTTTTTCATTCAAAAAAGGGTGCAAAGTAAGGCTTAACTTTTCGTCCATTTTTAGCGACTTTTTCCATTTTTCATAAGTAGGCCAAAAAACAGCAAAAAAGTAAGCCTATAGCCTTAACTTTTCTTCCATTTTTAGCCACTTATGTCATTTTTCATAAGTGCGGCAAAAACAGCAAAAAAGTAAGGCTATATAGCCTTAACTGACCTTAACTTTTCGTCCATTTTTAGCCACTTATGTCAGTTTTCATAAGATGGCCAAAAACAGCAAAAAAGTAAGGCTATAGCCTTAACTTTTCGTCCATTTTTAGCCACTTATGTCATTTTTCATAAGAGGGCCAAAAACAGCAACAAAGTAAAGCTATAGCCTTAACTTTTCGTCCATTTTTAGCCACTTATGTCAGTTTTCATAAGTGGGCCAAAAACAGCAAAAAAGTAAGGCTATAGCCTTAACTTTTCGTCCATTTTTAGCCACTTATGTCAGTTTTCCTAAGTGGGCCAAAAACAGCAAAAAAGGAAGGCTATAGCCTTAACTTTTCGTCCATTTTTAGCCACTTATGTCATTTTTCATAAGTGGGCCAAAAACAGCAAAAAAGTAAGGCTATAGCCTTAACTTTTCGTCCATTTTAGCCACTTATGTCATTTTTCATAAGTGGGCCAAAAACAGCAAAAAAGTAAGGCTATAGGCTTAACTTTTCGTCCATTTTTACCCACTTATGTGATTTTTCATAAGTGGGCCAAAAACAGCAAAAATGTAAGGCTATAGCCTTAACTTTTCGTCCATTTTTACCCACTTATGTCATTTTTCATAAGTAGGCCAAAAACAGCAAAAAGTAAGGCTATAGCCTTAACTTTTCGTCCAATTTAACCCACTTATGTCATTTTTCATAAGTGGGCCAAAAACAGCAAAAAAGTAAGGCTATAGCTTTAACTTTTCGTCCATTTTTAGCCACTTATGTCAGTTTTCATAAGTGGGCCAAAAACAGCAAAAAAGTAAGGCTATAGCCTTAACTTTTCGTCCATTTTTAGCTACTTATGTCATCTTTCATAAGTGGGCCGAAACCAGCAAAAATGTAAGGCTATAGCCTTAACTTTTCGTCCATTTTTAGCTACTTATGTCATTTTTCATAAGTGGGCCAAAAACAGCAAAAAAGTAAGGCTATAGCCTTAACTTTTCGTCCATTTTTAGCCACTTATGTCATTTTTCATAAGTGGGCCAAAAACAGCAAAAAAGTAAGGCTATAGCTTTAACTTTTCGTCCATTTTTAGCCACTTATGTCATTTTTCATAAGTGGGCCAAAAACAGCAAAAAAGTAAGGCTATAGCCTTAACTTTTCGTCCATTTTTAGCCACTTATGTCATTTTTCATAAGAGGGCCAAAAACAGCAAAAAATAAGGCTATAGCCTTAACTTTTCGTCCATTTTTAGCCACTTATGTCATTTTTCATAAGTGGGCCAAAAACAGCAAAAAAGTAAGGCTATAGCCTTAACTTTTCGTCCATTTTTACCCACTTATGTGATTTTTCATAAGTAGGCCAAAAACAGCAAAAAGTAAGGCTATAGCCTTAACTTTTCGTCCAATTTAACCCACTTATGTCATTTTTCATAAGTGGGCCAAAAACAGCAAAAAAGTAAGGCTATAGCCTTAACCTTTCGTCCATTTTTAGCCACTTATGTCATTTTTCATAAGTGGGCCAAAAACAGCAAAAAAGTAAGGCTATAGCCTTAACTTTTCGTCCATTTTTAGCCACTTATGTCATTTTTCATAAGTGGGCCAAAAACAGCAAAAAAGTAAGGCCATAGCCTTAACTTTTCGTCCATTTTTAGCCACTTATGTCATTTTTCATAAGTGGGCCAAAAACAGCAAAAAAGTAAGGCTATAGCCTTAACTTTTCGTCCATTTTTAGCCACTTATGTCATTTTTCATAAGTGGGCCAAAAACAGCAAAAAAGTAAGGCTATAGCCTTAACTTTTCGTCCATTTTTAGCCACTTATGTCATTTTTCATAAGTGCGGCAAAAACAGCAACAAAGTAAGGCTATAGCCTTAACTTTTCGTCCATTTTTAGCCACTTATGTCACTTTTCATAAG